CTGATTTGTTCTAACATATATTTTTAATATTTGCCTTGATATTAATTTTGTAAGAAGGCAGATAGATAATTCAACTTTATTTTTCCTAAAAGTTTTTTCTTTCCAGTATGGAGACTGAACCCAGGGCCTCTTACATTCTAGGCAAGCACTTTACCAGAGTTTTTATCCCAGTCCTATTTATTTATTTATTTATTTACAGAGGTCCCTCAAGTTACAAGTTACAACTGGCCTGACATACAAACAACTTGGGCTAATTAGGTTATTGGAAGATTCATCTAGCTCTTCTTATCTATAGTGTGTACCCAGGCAAATACTCAGATCTCAGTTGTACTGACTTAGTCACAACCAGATTCCAGGAACCTATCGAGTTCTTACATCAAGAGTCCACTGTATTTAGAACAGGGTCTTGCTCAATTGCCCAGGCTAGCCTTGAACTTGGATCCTCCTGCCTCAGCCTCTTGAGTAGCTGGGATTATAGGTATACCTATAATCCCATGACATCTTTTAAAAATTAACACTTTCCCAAGTGATTTGAAATGTCAACTTTGTCATATATTAAATTCTCACATATATATTGATATATGTACATTTAAAATTTTTATTTGTAAATTTGTAAATGGTGTATATACATACCCCTTCAACCCATTATTCCACTTGTAAGAGACAGGGTCTCCTAGTGTTGTCTAGGCTGGCCTTCAAATCATAGTTCTACTGCCTATAGTCCTATAATACCTGAGACTACAGGCATATTCCATCAACCTCTGCCAAATTTTCTAATTTTTAATTTTACTTCTGGAGCCTCTGTTTTGATTCATTGATTTGTCTGTCTATTCATATTCTAGTACTAAATTGTCTTAAATTATAAGCTGGGTGTTGTGTTGCATGCCTAGAGCCAGTGATGTAACTCAGTGTAAAGGCCCTGGGCTCAATGCCCTGTTTTGCAGGGGGAAAAAAGGAAGTACTTTTTGTAATTGTTTGAGCTCAGGTTGCCTTTTTTTTCCAGGACATTCCTGGCTATTCTTGCAATATTACCTTTTCTTTTGAAACTTAGACTTTGTATGTCTATTTTCAAAAAGTATCTCATTGATACTTCTATTGAAAGATTTTTTATTGTTTTTGGAAGAATTTTGCCAATGGTTTGAAAATCCAAACCACCTAAAATGGCTAGTTCTCACAAATACTACTAAACTAATAATACCTGTTGTAAGAATTAAGTCTTATAAAACTAAATATTAAGAAGGTCTTTTTCAATCATTTGCTCAAACCTCCAATCCCTCATTTAGATTTAGGTATGACAGAAGAAACAAAGGTAGGTAGAAAGGAAAGAAGGCACTCTTGGAGGTTGAGACAGGGAGTTTGCAAGTTCAAACCCAGCCTAGAAACTTAGTGACTCAATAAGATCCTGTCTAAAAAAAAAAAAAAAGGAGGAGGGGAAAGGAGAGAGAGAGTCGAAGAATCTTAATTTTAAAATTGTACTTTTAAGAAAAGGGCAGGTCTGGGCCAGGGATTTAGTTCAGTGGTTCTGCTGCCTGCCTCGAAAGTGCAAGGACCAGACTTTGATCCCCGGTACCTTAAAAAAAAGAAAGAAAGAAAAAAAGAAAAGTAAAAGAAAAGGACAGGTTCAGGACACAAAGTTACCTTAGGTTGCAATTTTTTTTTGCATTCCAGGTGAATTTTTTTTTTCATTCCAGGTGACTCTTAAAAGAAATAAGCCTGTAAATTGGGTCTATGCCTTTCACCTGTAAAATTGAGCCCGCGCTTTTCCTCCCATAGACTAGCTGGCCAACACACATTTAAAAAAATCTATCTTGGATTATGTCTTGAGGACAGCCCCAGAACATACATATCCCCCTCAGACCAGAATGCATCTTTAAGTGGGGCGTGGTGGCGTACGCCTGTAATCCCAGCACTCGAGAGGCTGAAGCAGGAGGATCGCTGTGAGTTCCAGACCAGCCTGGGCTACATACTGAGCTCCAGGTCAGACTCAACTACATAGTAAGACCCTGTCTCAAAACCCCCCCAAAACCCCCAAACAAACAAACAAACAAACAACCCAGAATGCATCTCTATGAGTGCTCACACTATTTTCTCAGAGAATACACCTTTTTAACTTTGCCTGATCAACCTGTCTAGGCCTCCTACTGATAAGTCCTGAAACGCATTTGTGATGGAAGATGGTGAACCTACTCTGAATGTAGGGGCAAACTGAAGTCTCTCTCTCCCCGAGGCACCTCTCAGACCCTGGTTGGTGACAGGGTAAACCATGGTGAGCAGTTTGATGAAGTACTTTCATACTTAGCCCTATATTTACAAACTTTCATTTGTATCTCAAAGTGGAAGCTTTCTTATTGTTTTTTCTTGAGACTTGAGTGCTACGGGCCTTGTGCGTTCTTCCACTGTCCTACACCAGCCATCCCATTGGTTCTTATTGTGTTGTATGTTCATGGAATCATTAATAGTATAGATACATATTTCTCACTATATATAGTATGTCTTCTTGTACAACAACAAATTGAGGTTGTTGGCCCCTCAACAAAGCTGTGGTAAAAAGCCTCAGATATATTTCCATCTTTGTGTATTTCTGTAGTATACATTTCTAGAAAGAAAAACCCAGGTAAAAGGGAATAAATGTTTATTTTAAAATTTGATAGACACTACCAGCTTATTTTTAAACACAGCATCAATAATAGCCCCGTCAACAGTGGGGGAGTATGCCCATTTACAAAAAAAAAATTTTGCGTGCTCGCTTCGGCAGCACATACACAAAAATTTTTTTGAGAGTCTCGCTGTCGTGACGTTTTATAAATTATAAATGAATAAAACTGACCATGAGATTTCATCGAGGCCATAAAGAAATAAACCCGAGGGGCAATGCTACGTACTAACGCCTGGAGGAACGGCAGGAGCTGCAATGCAGTTCGCGTGCTAAGCTGTGCGGAAGCCGGGAGTTCGTTTTTCAAAGAAGTCTCTTCTCGCCCCTCCCC